ATTTAGAAAGCCCGACAGATCTACGTCACACTGACTATTAGCATCCATGGACCCTCCTGAGTATTTCTAGGTGCAGCCAAGGTGTGGAGGGCATCCGTTTTGGTGGCCTGAGGATCGGGTCTCTGCTTTATGCAGATGGTGTGGTCCTGTCGGCTTCATCAGAATGTGATCTCCAGCTTTCGCTGGAGTGGTTCGCAGCCGAGTGTGAAGCAATTGGGATGAGAATCAGCTCCTCAAAGTTCGAGACCATGGCCTTGAGTTGGAAAAGGGTAGAATGCCTTCTCCAGGTCAGGGATGAGGGTCCTGCCTCAAATGGAGCAGTTTAAGTATCTCGGGGTCTTGTTCACGTGTGAGGGAAAGCTGGAGCGTGAGATCGATAGGGGACTAGTCCATCGTGGTGAAGAGAGAGCTGAGCCGGAAGTCAAAGCTCTCAATTTACCAGTAGATCTACATTCCTACCCTCACCTATGGTCACGAGCTTTGGGTGGTGACTGGAAGAATGAGATCGCAGATAAAAGAGGCTGAAATTAGTTTTCTCTGCAGGGTGTCTGGGCTCTCCCTTAGAGGTAGGGTGAGAAGATCGGTCATCCGGGAGGGGCTCGGAGTAGACCTGCTGCTCCTCCACATCGAGAGGAGCCAGTTGAGGTGGCTCGGGCATCTGGCCAGGATGCCTCCTGGACGCCTCCCTGGCAAGGTTTTTCAGGCATGTCCAACTGGGAGAAGGCCTAAAGGAAGACCCAGGTCACGCTGGAGTGACTATGTCTCTCAGCTGGCTAGGGAATGCCTTGGGATTCCCCCGGAGGAGTTGCCCAAGTAGCTGGGGAGACGGAAGTCTGGGCGTCTCGGCTTAGGCTACTGCTCCCGCTACCCGACTCTGGATAAGCAGCTCGAAATGGATGGATGGATGGATGGATGGACTCTCCCATCATGGCTTGTGACGGGGAAGGCTGTTGTTGTTTTAGCATCCAGGAGAGAGCAGAGCACATCTTGGCTTGTAGACGCTAACTGTTAGCATTAGCAACTCCACCATACAGCAGAACTCCTCCAGGCCTGTGTTATTTGTGGAGATAAAACAACATTGTGGAGCAAATGGAGCCAGTGGTCGAGTCAAGTTGCTGTTAGCCAATCAGAAATGAGATGTACTCCCGGTTCGCTTCTAGCTCCTGAAACAGGCGCTCCAGAACCTTTTTCCAACATAAATTGACTCTCATGACATTCATTTACACTAGACTACTAGTCTAGCAAGCCATCTTATATATGTGAATTTAGTGTGTGGACACAATCCATCTTCAAACTGTCTACTGTACATGCTATTAGACAACGAACGTGACATACTCACCACTATAGATGTCAGTCTGTGGGGCTGTCTCCCATACGCTGTCAAAAAAACGCAAATGCATCCTTTTTCTAAATGAAGAAAACCTCCATCTGCTCTTGACTCAAAAAAGTTTGATGCCAAAGCCATTTCAAATTAGTCGTTGCCCTCTTTGTTTTTTCGTTCAGTCGCAATAAGATCCTGCCCATCAAACTAAAAAAATTCGACCAAAAGTACCTGGGTCACTACATCACTGCTGACCTGTCAGATGACAGAGACATTTACAGACGGTTTGGCATGCAATATGCCCGGGCCAGTATGCTCATCTGGAAATTTGATATATGCCCCGTTCCTGCAAAACTTGTACACAGCTCACCTGTGGTGGAACTACAGAAGTAGCCTGCATAGTTTATTTATATATCACATTTAAAACGCAGCATGGGAGCTGCCCAAAGTGCTGCACAGACTGGACCAAAACACGACCAATCTAAGCAACTAAAACAGAAGATAAAAATACCGATCAAAAGCAGATAAAACATGAGGAATGACAGATAAGAACACATTAAAACACTAAAACCAGTCACTGTCTAAAAGCCACATCGTAGAAGTGGGTCTTTAAGTGAGATTTGAAAACCACCAATGATGGAGCCTGCTGAACTATAATGGGTAGAGAGTTCCACAGCTTTGGGGCAGCATGTACAAATGCTCGTTCACCCCGCAATTTGTATCGCATCCGGGGCGTGCACAGCAGCAGGAGGTCAGCCGACCTCAACGTGCACGTGGGTACAAAGGGAGTGAGCAGGTAAGAGAGATAGGGAGGTGTCAGGTCGTTGAGTGTTTTAAAGACAAAAGTCAATAACTTAAACTGTACTCTGAAAATGACAGGGAGCCAGTGAAGATGTGAAAGGACAGAGGTAATATGGCTACGTCGGTGCGTATTTGTCAAGAACCTGGCAGCAGAGTTCTGGAAGACCTGCAACCGATTCCGGGCAGAGACCGGAACACTAACTAGGAGGGCATTTGCATAGCCCAGGCGAGTGGTAATGAAAGCATGGATGACTGACTCCAAATGCCACCGTTTCAAGATTGGTCTGAGGCAATTCAGGTGGCGAAGCTGCTAAAAGCAAGACCTCACTACGGAGTTTATCTGTGGGTCCATTGAGAGTTCAGTACTTCTTCTTCCGGCTCTTGGAAGGTGCAGACACTTTTCTTCTCCTCTCCTCCATATGTTATCCTCAAGGCCCTTGTCTGTCTGTGTGTGCTGGGTGCACGGCTGCTTCTGCATTTTTTCTGGAAACTGAAATTCACTAAAATGGATCTCGTCAGTTGGTCACTCAACGCGGTTGATAAAATTTCTTCAAAGATGAGAACGGGAGAAGGGGCTCCCGGATGCCCCTCCGGGACAGACCAGCTGTCTGTGGAGGACTCTGAAGATGCGTGGATATTCGTGGTGATGTTGTCGGGTTTCCTGCTGATCGGCATTGGAGGCTTCCCTGGCTTACCGGAAAATTAACGAGCTGTCGAGGAATATTGGCCTGATCCCCGAGCTCAGAGATGGATTGCACCGCGCTGTGAATCAACAAAGTCACATAATTGTCGATATGAATCGTAAGCTTGGAACTTTAGCCGAGATTAATTCATTGGCACAAAAGATGGATGCCATCAAGGATGGAGTGTACGAGTCAGCACGGATTGGGATGGTTTAATGTCCATTATTGGGATTTTGAGAGGTTGAGGACCAACAAACTCAAAGACAGAGACGAAATTATCTCTGTCTGGCCCCAAACAATTTCTAATTGGGATCTGGCGTCCTTGAGCCAGCAAGGCTACAACGAAAACTCCCCCCTCAGAAGATATGTGGAATGTGCCGTCGCTATGGCAACTCAACTCTGTCTCCTATCCCAGCCTGGGCGGGACTGCGGGAAGGCCGCTGAAACGTTCCAGGGTCACTGCAACCCTCCAACCCACAATGCTCCTCCCCCATACACACTGAGATGACATGGGCTGCTTCGTGGCTGCAGGAACTGAAGTGGGGATAGTCCCAACCCACCACCCCACCTAGTGGACACTTATGTTGTGTTGTCTGAAGTCTGTTGCATATATATTTGAGGTGTTATTTTGCAGAGCAAAGCTGCCCTCCCGGTGGAGGGTAACTGTGAAGTGCCTTTTTTCCCTCCACCTGAACCAATCCTCATGTAACCCTCTTATCTCTGTTAAGGTAGCGCGACTCAGGGTTGCGAATGACCACAGTCACCAATTCTTGTCATGTCTCTTGCCCATGTATGTCTGATCTCTGAATTGTGTGTACTGAAACTCTAATTTCCCTCTGGGATTAATAAAGTATCTTTGATTTGATTTGATTGTACAAACCTGTAGAAACTTCAGGTGGCATATAATGATGGGCTGAGAGTACCTAGATGGACCAGTGCCAGCCAGTTGTTTACAGATGCAGGCATTTTTACTTGTGCTGCCATGCCTCACAATATAATGTACACATGTATGTGCCATGTGATGGCTTCTGACAACAGTATTGTGTCCAACACAAAACGTAGTTTGATTTTCCAGCCTGGCGCTGTTGCCTGTATGTCATCTTCTTGTATTTTACTATTCTTCTTTTATTATTTTATGTGACTGTCTTTGAATTTTATTGTTACTATGGATCTGATAGTTTCTGGAATAAAGTTTGATGATGATGATAATAGAGCGCTGTGATTGGCCCACCAAACCGACAGAGCGCTGCGATTGGCCCACCAAACCGACAGAGCTCTGCGGTCGGCCCACCAAACCGACAGAGCGCTGCGATTGGCCCACCAAACCGACAGAGCGCTTTGATTGGCCCACCAAACCGATAGAGCGCTGCGATTGGCCCACCAAACCGACAGAGCGCTGCGATTGGCCCACCAAACCGACAGAGCGCTGTGATTGGCCCACCAAACCGACAGAGCGCTGCGATTGGCCCACCAAACCGACAGAGCGCTGCGATTGGCCCACCAAACCGACAGAGCGCTGTGATTGGCCCACCAAACCGACAGAGCGCTGCGATTGGCCCACCAAAGCAACAGAGCGCTGCGATTGGCCCACCAAACCGATAGAGCGCCATGATTGGCCCACCAAACCGACAGAGCGCCGTGATTGGCCCACCAAACCAACAGAGCGCCGTGATTGGCCCACCAAACCGACAGAGCGCTTCGATTGGCTCACCAAACCGTTAGAGCGCTGTGATTGGCCCACCAAACAGATAGAGCGCTGTGATTGGCCCACCAAACCGTTAGAGCGCTGTGATTGGCCCACCAAACCGTTAGAGCGCTGTGATTGGCCCACCAAACCGACAGAGCGCTTCGATTGGCTCACCAAACCGTTAGAGCGCTGTGATTGGCCCACCAAACCGTTAGAGCGCTGTGATTGGCCCACCAAACTGTTAGAGCGCTGTGATTGGCCCACCAAACCGATAGAGCGCTGTGATTGGCGAGAGACGAGACTGCTCAGGCCTGCCGAGGTTTGAGCCCGACCTGCAGAGCTAAATTGTTTTCCTTCTGCTGGTCCATCTGGATTTTTGGCTACTGCATGTTTTGGTAAAACAAGAGAACTTGGTCTTTAACATTCCTGTTTTTTTTCCCTCCTGCTTTGACTCCATTTTCCATCTTTATCCCTCTGCTCACCCCGACTCATCTGCTTTCCTCCTCAGATGAGATTGAGATGCTGGAGCGCCTCTGGCTGTCAGGGATCTGCCATAATGACAAAATTGAGGTGATGAGCAGTAAACTGGACATTGACAACATGGCTGGGGTCTTCTACATGCTGCTGGTGGCTATGGGCCTCAGTTTGCTGGTGTTTGCCTGGGAACATTTAGTCTATTGGAAACTGCGACATTGCATGGCTACAAGTTCAGGCAAACTGGACTTCCTCTTAGCAATCAGCAGGGTAAGAGCTTCATTATGAATGTGACCAAGTTGTTTTTCTGCATTTCAAACCACCATTTGTTAACAAGTGTGAATGTTATCAAGGTCTATTAGAATAATTCCAGATGAATTCATCCATCCTTTTCTTTTGACTGTTATTTTGACAGAAACCACCCATATACCGTTTGCGTGTTATTATTACAGCTCCGGTTATTGTTTACCTTTCCCCACCGCTGTCATTTATTCACTTCTGTATGCAGTTGTGCCAGTTACACAATGTACTATAAATAGAAATTATGCAAAACAAAATGTCAATCTGGCATTTATTTTCAATGCAGGAGATTTTTGGGATTAGACTTTTTTTTTTACCCAGCATGCACTCTTTCAGCTTCACTCCACGTATGTTTGTTGCTACGCTGTGATACTTGTAGCGGCCCTCTCACACTGCATGTTCTGATGTAGTTTTGCACTTGAAGAAGTCTCCGAAGACTTTGTGAACTGTAATGTGTGTGGCTACGTGAAGCCTTTCTTTGTGAAATGGCTAACGTGGATGTTTCTCCTCACCCAGGGCATGTACAGCTGCTGCAACTTTGAGGATGAAACTGCACCAGGTGGCCCTAAGTCTTTAACTTCACACCACCACACAGCGATGGTTACTGTCTCGTCGCAGCCACACGTGGTCTCGGCGACCGTGACCAACCCAGCCATAGCCCTGGCGCAACAGCCGCAACAGCAGCAGTCGCAGCCTGTTTACAAAACTCCTCTACCAGGCTCGCCTCCCACTGTGGTGCATTCTGGGACAGGACTGGGCTCTTCCAATACTCCCATGGCTGGTGCGCCCCTCCCTTGCTCCACCTTTCTGCCCCGGCCTGACCGCAGATTGGCTGTTGTGGATCGGTGGAGGCTGCCTAAGTCTGCTACAGCCACTAACCCCATGGCTGTAAGAGGGGCCGTCACTGACATGGGACCATTTGCTCAGAAAGTTCCATCAAACTGGCCTTCAACTGCTGGAGGGGGTGGAGGACTCGATGGTTATAAGAGATATTATGGTCCCATTGACCCTGAGGGACTGGGGTCCTGCATGGAGCAGCAAGCAGGGTCCCAGACCCCCAAGACTATACCCAGGGGCCACCCTCAACCCCCTCCAGCCAGTGTGGCCTTCTACTCAGAAAAGGGCATGGACCACGGGGTGGGGAAGAAGGTGGGGGGAGGTGGCAGTGGAGGTCAGGGGAAAGGGCCTGTAAAAGCTCTGGGCACTCCCAGACTGCCTCCTAAGAGTCAGGCCCCTCTGCCTCCTACACCTCCACTGCCACACCCCTCTCCCCCTCTCCCTTCATCCTTCTGGAGGAAGCGCAGGCCCAAGAAACCCAAAGAGCCCGGAGGGCCACTGTACGAGAACATTCTACCACTGGGGCGGAGGGGCGGAGCAAGAGATGGTGTGAGGGAAGGAGGAGGAAGGAGGGCACGACCCCTTTCTCCTCCACTCTCACTTCCTATACCAGTCCCTCTCAGTCCCTCCTATACCCCTCCTTCTCCTTCTGCATCATTGCACTACACATCGTCGTCCTCTACATCAACAACAACATCAACATCCACGTCTTCATCCGCCACATCTTCTCGCTCCACCTCCCCCACCTACTCCTACAGCTCCTCCAGGAGCACACGAGACAAGGCTGGAGGACTGGACGAGGAAGACGACGAGGACGATGAAGACGAAGAGCTGACAGAAGAGTCGAGCCTACTCCTCGGGAGAGGGCGAGAGAGGGAACGTTCAATCATCCGGCCTCGCTCACTCAGCCACGGCCGCTTGCCGCCACCAATACCCCCCAGGAAACCACGGACATCTTGGGGTGACAGAGAAAGAGAACGAGGGAGGGAAAGAGGGGGGAGTCAGCTGTCTCAGCTTCAAGAGTGGTGGGCAAGCTGGAGTGAAAGAGAGAGGAGTAGGACAGGTGGAGATGCTGAGAGACAAAAAAGGGAAAAGAAGAGGAGGAAAGAAAAGGAGAAAGAGAAGAAGAAAAAGAAAAAGAGCAAAAAGAGGAAAAAGCGAGAGGAGAGAGAAAGAGAGCGCGAGAGAGAGAGAAAGCGCAGGAAGGTGAAAAAAAAGAAGAAGAAGGCACTGAAAACGAAGAAAAGGAAGAAATCCACCGGGGGGAAACGGTCGGAGCCAGAAGAGGGTGATGTAGAAGCTGAAAGAGAAGCGGATGCAGAGGGCGAGAGGGATGGAGGAATACAAGACTACTCTTCATTTTCTGCCCAGTATGGTAGCACATTTGGTGAAAAAGGTCGGGATTCATGGGAGGGAGAAAGGGAAAGAGGCAGGAGAGAAGGGGGGGAGGACGACAATGACAGGGATGATGAAGACAGTGGCAGAAGCAGGGAGAGGCGTCCCAAATCCTCGCACTCTCGTTCCAGACATCGTACCCCCAGTAAACGCTACCCCAACCCCAATAAGTTCCCTGCATCGGTTAAATTTTGGATGAACGGGAGAGGAGATGACTCAAATACTCCACCAATCTCTCTACACCCGCTCCTCCCTTCCTGCAAGAGGCGAAAAAGTGGAGGGATGGATCGAGATGACGGTAATAGAGTTGGAGAGCGCCGTCCTTTGTTAATGCATTATGAAAAAGAGAAAGCACAGACAAGAGAAGGGCTGTCCTTCCATGAGTGGGACTCAGACGAAGATGATGATGACGATGATGAGGATGAGGAAGAGAGGGATAGAGTAAGGGAACGGGTGGAGGAAAGGGGAAGGAGAATAGGTAGGGGGGCTGTGTCTGAGTCAGAGCGGGACAGGGCCAGGGTAGACGACAGCTACTCAGACGAGGGCTCTTCAGGAGAGTTTGGCCGTTTTGAAAGATACTGGGAGCAGGGGGCAGGGGACAACGGTACTGGGATAGGGGGCATAGGTGGCGGGGGGTGGTTCTTTGGTACCTACCCTTCAAGAGAGAAAGGAGGCAGCATCAACAGCCGGGAGGATTCTTTACTTGGAACCCGTGCGGAGGGCTGGATCGGTGCTGATTTCTGGGGAGGACATGGTGTTGGGTGGGCGTCTGGGGGGGGAAGCGGCGGACTGGGTACACAGTGGCCACCACCTCCGACAGTGTTCCCTCCACCGAGGCGATACTGGTCTATGGACAAAATTCCTGTGAAAGGGGAGAAAAAGTGGAAGGGTGGTGGAAGGAAGAGGAAAGGACGTAGTAGGGAAAGATCGGACGAAGCAGGACGATCAACTGTGTGTTCCTGTAGCCTTTATCCTCAACCACACCCTTATCCACACCCCCAAATCCGCTCACACACCTCCCACTCCAAGAGAGGAACCTCAGCTCTTTCCCGTAGCCAAGAAGAGCTTCTACCCCACTGCCACAGCTTCAGCGGGGGCCCACGTCCAAAACCTCTGCCTCCCAAACCCGATTCCAATCAAGCCAAATCAGGCAGCCAGTCTAACCTCAGCCTCAACACGCAGCCTACAGAACATCAACCACAGCCTTCGCCATCGCCACCACAGCAGCCGTCCTTGTCTCCCACGTCTCTACCGATGACCATCCCCCCTCCACCCTCTTCAGCCTCAGTCTCACCCCCGGCAGGGGTAGGGATGGCAGGCCAGGCTCAGGCTTCAGCCAGTGCCAAACTCCAGTATCAGAGACTGCGCTCTGTGCCGCAGCCACGGAGGTTCTACTCTCCCCACCTGCCCCTCAAAGCCAAAAGTCTGTGTTCGCGTCGAGGTTCAGCCCACTTCTCCAGTCTGGAGAGTGAGGTATGACAGGGGGAGAGGAGAGAGGGAGACGTGGGAGCGAGCACCCGTGCTGTTGAAAACCATGATTCCACGGCAGCTGGAACCAGGGATGACACCAGAGAAATGGCTGCCCTGGTAACCACGAGCAATCAGTTAGCAACCATCACTACAGGAACTCATCTGGACAGCAGTTCCATTGCTGACTCTACCCTCGGTGAGAGCAACACTACTACCACCAGCTCAATTGTACGCGTTCTCATGAGGGCGACAGTGAGATGCCAAACCAGGGTGAGCTACGTCCGTCTGGATGGTTCCCATGACGACGAGAGTGAAGGTGAGGCTGCATCACCAGGGACAGCAGCCCCAGAACTTCTCCTGCGCTCAGAAATGAGCTTCGTGATGTCATCTTCGGTTCTCCTCCCCTACGCGAGTCACAACTGTGGATAACAGTAGTCGCCAACCTGTGAGTAATGATGTCATGTTTGCACATGCACACACGCACACTTACACACACGCACACACACAAAATGCTCCAAACGTCTCCCTCCCTCTGGCTTTGAACACACACCTCGGTGGGATGAGGACAGACCCACCTTTGGTCAGTAGAGTCTGGCTCCCTGTCCTGGTTTCTGTTGGCCGTTGATCCGGACCGGTGGACTGCTTCTTGGTGTCGGAGAAACCCTCTTCTTCCCTTTTTTAAGAAAAGCAATGCAGTCACCTCTCTCCCGCGCTGCCTGCCTGACCACCTTTCCACGGACAGTGAGCACAGTGCTATGTATTTGCCCTTTGGCCTCACGGCACCATCAGACCCATCTAGCTCTACCCCAGGACCATCTCGATGATGTCACGTTTTAATAGAAACACTTTTAACCAGTCAGATGAACACAGGAACCTTTTTTTTTCCCTCGGCCCTGTTTGAAAATGGAAAATCGTACCGACTGTCAAAGAGTCCGAACGGAAAACGATAAACGAGGAAAAACAATAAGAACAGCGTCAACAAAGACATGTAGCAGAATTTCTTTTGATGTCTGTCTTTTCTTTTGTTTCGTCTTCAGACTTCTCTCCTCATCCGTTTCTTTATTCAGTCGAAATGTTTCTGACCGTGTTCGTCTTTTAATAGGAGGCTGGATGTGGCTAGTGTTGGACGTGGGAATGATCTAAAAGCAGCCCCAGATTTCCACTCGAGAGCTTTTTACGTTCAAATTTTGTGATAAAAGTCTCAGATTTTCTCGCCACGTGTGAACAACCCATAACCCGCCCTCATGTGAGTGGATCCAGGGGGGTGATTAGTGCAATATCTGTAATTGGCACTAGATGGCTGCATAATATTTAAAGACGTTTTTGAGACTGTCATGCAGGAAGCTCGTGGTCAGTTTAAATCTTTTTCCACACGATAGAAAGTGGTGTGCAGCTGTGAACGTATTTATTTTTATGGAAGTGTTCAGTCAGGATTTTAAAGCCCTCTTAGGAGGCGATACGCCGTTGCCACTCTTGTTGTGGATGATGGATTAAGTGAAGCACAATTCCTCCTTGTCTTTTCCAGTCGTGTGTGCCACAGTTGCAAATGCACAATCCAGGTAACTGATATAGCTTTTCCCGTGGTGTTGCAAACCATAAATTTGACTGTAGCCGAGGTTTTAATGGTAAAACACCAAGACACGCGTCTCCTCCCCTTAACGAGACAGGGTGACATACTGTGAATGTTTCCAGGTGCATAAGCAGCAGCTGAAACAGTCGGTGACGAGTCACATGATCAGGATTATCAGACGACTGTTTGACTTTGAGCAATACTCCCACCTTCAATGTGACAGGGATGCAGGGGCGCATCGCTACTGCTGCTTTTGTTGTGGATTTAACATCAGATTTGCTGTTTGAATCAGTTAACGAAGACTTTTACGAGCTCGTTTGGCCAGACGTGGGTGTTAATAGGTGGATTTAGGTGGTAAATAAAAACAAATATGCTACATGTGGGGATACGTAGCCTTGTACCTTCTTGCACCAAAAGCCATCTTCTGTTTCTCCGTGCCGACATCCATGACTTCATGTCTCACACTAAGACCAGCCACAGCCCAGCCGTTCGTCCGTTGTAGTTGAATGTAGCGTTGAAGCGATGTAGCAGAAGAACACCTACTTACGTTGTAGCTTTGTTTATTTCCATTCTTGTTCTGAATGCTGTTGTGACGTCCGACGGAGAAGGGGAGGGGCTTGACCTGCTGTGTGAGGGGCTGTGCTTTGTGTTTGTGCATGTCGTCACAGATCGGAGGGTTAGTCGACCTTTTCGCTCCGCCGTTTTTCACTCCTCCGCCCCTCTCTGAGGCCAGACTGTACCTTTTATCTGCACACGGATGGCTTTCTTTCTAAGTCTCAGTTGGGTGATTTTTAAAAACGTGTTTTTAGAGAAATGCTTTTGCTCTTTTCCCCGTCCTCTTTGGAAAAAGCCCCAGACTCGTTGCATGTTTAGTGGAATGAATTGCCCAGATTTGCAGTGGGAGGGTCGCGTAGGTCAGCCGTAGCATTAGGAACCAGGGCCTATTGGGTCAGATAGTTAGCTTGCTCTGCTCTGCACCCCAGCAGTGGAAACCATGGCAACAGTTCCACTGTTTCCTGTGTAACGGGACACAGTTATTTTCAACCGATCTACAGGGCTTAAACCTGGTGTCATTAAGCGTTACTGGTTTGTTTTGAGGCACTAATGCTGAAGTCTGTGACTGCATGAACAGAACTCTTAAAAACCCTCCAGCCTATTTTGTTCGGATTCGTTTGATTTTACGCTGAGAAAAAAAAAGAATCTATTGAAATATACGATGTTTTTGAGAATGTACCATGTTATACTGTGATTTAACTGAGATATTTTATTGTACTCAATCATCATTTGAATTCTATCATTTATCTATGAAGAAATATATATGTACAAATAAATATATACATATATATACGTACAGGTATATATATCTATATTAGTTAAGTTTGGTATGTTGGGAGGAAGTGTTAGATGAAATAGTTTTAAATGTTTTAGCTTTGTAGCGCTTCTAGACACAGATCATTTTTGAATTTTGATTCCTCCTATATGACTGTGAAGACATTAGTGCCTGTGACAAAAAAAGACGAGTAAAAGTCAAAACTCTTTATTCATCTGTATCTACTATGGCTATCAGTCCATCACTCTGGTATTACCTAACATCACCTGTCCACATTTTCTGCTGTTACTCGTCCACGTGGTCCTCATCCCACCTCTCTTCCACCGTCTCCTGCTTTTTCGTTTACCATCTACATCTCGTTTCGACTTCGGTCCCATACGGCCACACCTCTTTGTTAAAGAGCAAGTCGCCCCCTACCAGAGTATTACTCCACTCCCACTTCCTGTTTGAAAAATGCAACAAATGCTGTTGCCTAGCAGACCGAGAGGGCGAAGCCGCTAACAAATACACACACACAGGCTCACAGCGACATTGTGACATCATATGGTACCAGCTAACGTTATAGGGCACCTCTTAGCCAATAGCGATGGCAGATTTAAATTCTAATGCAGTGAAGAGTTTTTACCTGACAACGGCGCAACACTGACAGTTTTAGGCAGAAAATTTAAATTTTAACTAAAGTGCAAAACTATTGGCTACACGTGTCTGCAGCACGATTAGACACACATTTATAGTTTATCAGAAAAAAAGAGTTTATTTGGGGGTGACTTGCTCTTTAACCGACCCGTTCGTTGGTCTTAAAGAGCAAGTCACCCCCAAACCAACTTTATTTTTGCTGATAAACAACATGAACGAGTGTCTTATCGTGCTGCAGACACGTGTAGTCAATAATTTGGAACTTTAGTGGATTTTAGTTAAAATTCAAATTTTTTCTGCCTAAAACTGTCAGTGTTGCGCCGTTGTCAGGTAAAAACTCTGCACTGCATTAGAATTTAAATCTGCCACCGCTATTGGCTAAGAGGTATGCTATGATGTAAACTGGTACATTATGATGTCACAATGCCATTGTGAGCCTGTGTGTGTGTGTGTGTGTATTTGTTAGCAGCTCCGCCCTCTCGGTCTGCCAGGCAACAGCATTTGTTGCATTTTTCAAACAGGAAGTGGGAGTGAAGTAAGTCTCTTGTAGGGGGTGACTTGCTCTTTAAATTTGTTTCCTTTGATTGTTTTTTTTAAATCAGCTCATCTCTCCGTCTGTCTCTCACTTAGCAAAAAACAGAGACCAGTAGATACTGTGTTCTTGCTCCTTTTGACTGATTGTTGATGATGATGATGATGATGATCAGTTCACTGACTGATAAACCAATTACTGAACAATGTTACTGTTGCTGATGTGACTGAAGTGTGCATCTGACGACCACACCACTGTAGCAAGTCTGGGCTGCACCCCACCACCAGCGAGCAAGTGGGGCCACAGTTGCTATGGTGTTGCCATGGCAGTTTTAATGGCGTTGCCATAGTGTCCTCTGCACCGCCATCATCTGGTGCCTGCTGGGTAATATAGCATAATGTCCTTCGCTTTCTCTGAAGCACCCGTCAAATATCGTCTACTCCTGACTTTAATAAACGCAAAGTGACAAAAAAAAAAAAATAGAAAATCACTTTGGAGGAGTGCTGAGGGGTGGAGGCATGTCTGCTGTCAGTGCAGTTCTAGGCTGGACTGGGGTACCACTGGATACCTTAGAGCAGAGTTGGGCAATCCTGGTCCTTGAGGGCCACTATCCACAATTTTGTTGTTTTATCTCTGCTGAAACACACCTGGTTTGAATCTGCTGATGATTAACAGGCTACTGCAGAGCCTGATGAGCTGCAGAACAGGTGATTCATCCAGGAATCAGGTGTGTTGGAGCAGGAAAACAACAAAAACATGCCGGATAGCGGCCTTGGAGGACCAGGATTGCCCACCCATGCCTTAGAGTTTGAATGATTTTAAAAGTAAACATCAGTTTGTGCTCGCTTGCATGCAGTCCCAGAAGCTGTTTATCACCGCTGGCCTGAAACAAGCTGAAACTTTATCAATACGCGCATACTGAATGTGAATGTGCCATGCTAAGCAGGGAGATGATGTATTGCATGAATTCCAATCGATGGTACACTGCAGCGTGAGTTTGCAACGCTCCCTTGTGCTTGTTTCTCATCCCCTGCAGTTTCTGAAAAAATGCACACACACACACATTTGCTGTGCATGCATATTTAACACACAATCACCAGATTAATGATCCTCATCCTCCGCTAACACTCACTCAACTGCAGTTCAAATCAACATCTCAAGTAGTCTTATTGTCCCACGCGGGCTTTGCAAAGGCTCCACGCTCATTCGATTGCTTCTCTAACTTTTTGAAAATGTCCTTAGTGTAAAATTTTGTCCACCTGGGGGAGCCGAGCGCTTTCACCATGAATATTCAGCTTGTTTTGAGCTGCCCGTCTTTTCCGTTTGTTGTGTGTCTTCTCTTGTGCCGTCCTGCCTTCCCTCATTCATCAGTTTCTGTTTAGAGTAGTCACGTTCAATTTGTTTTACCTTGCTGGCCCGCTCAGTCTTTAATTTGCATCTTTGTCCTAATCGGCTTTGATTTATTAGATTTTCTCTTTAGTCAAAGGCATGCATTGAAGAGTCCAGTCCAGTCTAGCGCAGGCCTGAGTTTGTATATGATCCTAATGCAGCCTCAAACTAACCCCACCCTGTCCCTAACGACCCACGACCTGGTAACCAATACGTGTGGCGCTCCAGAAACGAAACAGGGTCCTCATTGGCTCTAATCAGCCATGATTTATATCAAGGAAATACAGGAGCGTCAGACGTAGCGCTTGTCAGGTCTAGAGTCTGCATGTTGTACACCACGACGAGCTTACCCTACTGCAACGAGAGGACGCACCTACCCACAAAAACCAGAGTGTATTCTTCTCACCATTGTCCCAGGCTCAGTTCTGCTCCAGTAACCTCACCACCTCTGCAGGCCTGTGCATGGGTTGCTAAGGTGGGTTGCTATAGGGTGATGTTGCTCCCAGCCCGGACTGGTCTGGTCTATGCCCTGATTTATATGTGTTAGTATATTTGACATTGTCTGTCTGGGGTGGGGCTGGAGGGTCAGTGCTGCACTTACTTCCTGAGAAATGATTCATAAAATATGATTCTCTCTAATGAATGGCAGTGGTGCTGTGTCTCATTCCAGTTCTTTTTGTCACGCGTCGTTATGGATACGAGTCTTTCTGACTGTCCACGTGCCATGTGGCATGTGTGTGTACGGGTTTTCACCTTTGGAAGGCTCTCTTTAGGTGACACCAACTATTAGTCAGTACTCTCTAAAAAATGATGGCGTACATGCGTGCGTGTGTGTGTGGGTCTGTGTGTGTGTGCACGTGTATGTATGTGTGCGCGTGCGTGTGTGTGTGTGTGTGTGTATGCACGTGTATGTGTGCGTGTGTGCGTGTGTGTGTGCATGCGTGTGTGTGTGCATGTGTGTGTGTGCGTGCGTGCACGTGTGTGTGTGTGTGTGTGTGTGTGTGTGTGCACGTGTGTGTGTGCGTGCATGCGTGTGTGTGTGTATGTGTGTCTGTGTGTGTGTGCATGCTTGTGTGTGTGTGTGCACGTGTGTGTTTGTGTGTGTGCACGTGTGTGTTAGTGTGTGTGCGTGCGTGCGTGCATGTGTGTGTGCGTGCGTGAGTACGTCTGTGTGTGTGTGTGTGTGTGTGCATGCGTCCGTGCGCACGTGTGCGTGCACGTGTGTGTGTGCGTGCGTGCGTGCATGCGTTTGTGTTTACGTGTGTGTATGTGTGTTTGTGTGCATGCGTGTGTGTGTGTGTGTGCACGTTTGTGTGTGTGCATGCGTGCGTGCGTGCGCACGTGTGTGTGCGCGTGTGTGTGCGCGTGCGTGCACATGTGTGTGTGCGTGCGTGCGTGCATGCGTTTGTGTTTGCGTGTGTGTATGTGTGTTTGTGTACATGCGTGTGTGTGTGTGTGTGCACGTTTGTGTGTGTGTGTGTGTGTGTGTGTGCGTACGTACGTCTGTGTGTGTGTGTGTGCACGTTTGTGTGTGTGTGTGTGTGTGTGTGTGTGCGTGCGTACGTCTGTGTGTGTGTGTGTGCACGTGTGTGTGTGTGTGTGTGTGTGTGTGTGTGTGTGTGTGTGTGCATGAGATTTCTCCCAGATTTCTCCGCTCTTGTCAGCCTTCTGCTGTGATCTTCCCAGAGTGGACCCAGCCTAGCCCACTCCTTTTGGCGTCACGGACGCCAACACGCCCAGCGTTCTGCCAGACACCTCAGCACCTCCATGCCTGCAACAGCAACACACAGGATTTGCTGACCAGAACAACATTTTTAAGACATTTACTCTTGATGCTTACAGACTTTTTTGGATTCTTGATTTTGTATTTTTTACGTTCTCTCGTGTGGTTCCTTTCGTTTGAAACTGATCTACAAATACAGCTCAAAAAGCATCTAATAAACACCTGACACTTGATTATCAGCAAGAGTGTTGATGGGGTCTTAAATATGTTTTGTTCTGCTCCCTTTGCATCTGAGATCTACTAATTAGCCATGCTTTGTTAGCGTGATGGGCTAATGGCTAATTGCATTGTGGGGCCTCTGTGTGTACATGCAGTAATGACTTAACGCTCTAATAAGATTCAGTTACAGGATCATGGTCTCCCCAAACACTGATCTCAGGTCAGTGCTGTGCTTCTCTCTCGAATGGTTGTGATGGGAGATGAGGGGCTTTTTCATCTCCACTCTTGCATCTTACTGCATGCTGGTTGGTCACCTTTCTCCTGTGATCGTATGTATTTCTGTTGTCGGAGCCGTCTGTTGACTAACATCCTAATGCAGCAGTGTCGGTTTTTCCTGCTCAAGACCTCCCATTCCCATTCCACTTCAGCTCCGACTCCACACATGCCCGTGCATGAATACACACTCATGAACGGTGTGTAGGGATGGAAGCAGAGGGCTGTGTCCCTGCTGAGGTGCAGCACATTGATCCTGTACTGATCTGCCACCGGCTCCCTGGGGATTTGTAACGCATGTCTGCGACGCCGGGGCTTAACACACTCCTGCGCTCTTTCTGTCTTTGTCTTTGTCGTTCTGTCCCGTTGCGCTGGCTCCAGCTATGCAGTGCCGTGGCCTCGCGCTCCTGCACCTCTTTCTCTGTAATCTGCCAATAGCAGGTGCGCTTCACCTTTCAGTTTTGATATTTTTTCAGTTATTTTTCCTTTCCACCGACTCTGCCTTTCTTTACGGTTCGTTTTTTACCGTCACTTTGTCTTCGTGATTTTTGCTACTTGGTCCATTGTTTTTCTTTGTTTGTGCTATCCTGCAGTTCCCTTAAAGAGGGCCAATCAAGCAAAGCTCCCATTTTCATTTTTCATCCTTTTGTGCTGCCATGTGGGTCTCAAACGTGAAAAAAATCCATCCATCCATTTTCTGTCTTTGTTTGATTTTAGGTATTATCTACCTTAACGGAGCCTT